ATGGTCCAAATAACATATGCAATGTCTGTATTCAGGCTTATCAATACAGAAAAAAGAGCAAACAAACCCACAACTTTCTAATTTAATTTTGCCACTATTTTCTTGGTTGTAAAGGTAAAGTACCAATCAGATCTATTATGAGGGTAAGTTTATGAGGTGAAGCTGCCAGCACGGAAAATAATTACTCAAAACACTGGGTAAAAATACATAAACAAGTTCAGAGTTAAGTTAGTCAATGAAGCAGTGTTACAATCTGAAAATGCATATAAGAAACAAAAAGATAAAACAGACAAGGAAAATGATGTTAGAGACAAGCCACGGCATGACTGGCATGCAATTCTTATATTAAATACCTCCTCCTGCAGTGTTCTTCCTGTGTATGTCTTTGTGTGCCTCTCTGGGTCAGGGACACATTTTTCAAGCTAGCAAATTGCAATGGGTAGGCAGGGTTAATACACAAGTAAGTATAATATATAAGAGACATAGCACAGGAATTAAGATATGTTGTCATTCAGATAAGCTTGCCAAAAAGAATTAGAAAAATAATATGATAACAGTAATACTATTTTATACTCGTAAGAAAAACAATTGTGAAAGTATGTGCTCAAAAGATGCACATTACTTTTAAATAAAAGGTATTTGATCCTCTTGCAAAAACCTGAAAGTCAGTGGAAAATCAAGACTTTTCTGGAAGATGATAACCCAAGGTTTTGATGCCAATATAAATATAAAACCAATACTTCTCACAAATGGCATAGGGTGGTTTGGATTGTTAATACCCTTAGTGTCATCCAAAGTGTTCAAAAAACATGCTACGTCCTGTAGAGGAGATTCAAGAAAGACATGCAGGGTTTTTGCAGGTGATTTTGAAATGCAACATTTCAAAATCACCAGTGCTTTCATGGGTATGAATAAAAGTAGATATGATATGAACCTCTGATCTACAATAAGCAAGCTCCATTTTCTAATCCCCTCAATGAGAGTCATCTAAAAGCATTGAACATATCAGATATATTGAGTTATTGTCAAATGTGCCACTTTAAAAAATATTTGCAGCTGTTTATCTCTTCATCAGTGACCTGCACAGTACCATCTTCATAGCAGTCACTTAATGCATAGGAAATTGAATTTTCAATGCTTTTGTTTGTTCTTATGGTTTATAGCAGTAGATTTAATTAATTAATATTTGCATTTCTCTGCTGGTTTTTAGAATATCCAGTGATCTGTAATAGAAAGTACATCTATTTTTTGGTAATAGAGATTTCCTAATTTTTGCTCTTCATTTCCATTTCCTCTTGATAAAAGGGCTCTGACTTTCATTCAAATATTTACCACTCAACCATGCAGACTTGTATCTTTGGGGACAATCCAGCCTCCAGGTCTTGGTTGACTCAAACTAGTTAACATATCTCAGTTTTCTGGCCATGGTCAGTCATTAAAGCATGGACACATGATATAAGTCAGGTCAATGAAATGTAAGATGTTGTCTAGGGGATTATAATAGAGAACAAATGATATAAGCATGCAGGTTCTGAAACTCTAAAGGAATTTCTGCCTTCAAGAGGGAAGTTAGACATGGAGGTGGACAGAACTGAGAGAACTACACATGAATTAAGCCTCGATGCTGATGCTGTGTACATAGATACTCTAGATGAAGTGCCAGTTTGGTTTGGGGATTCTGTCTGAGCAACCAGAAATGTCCTAGCAGGTACAGATGTTCAAACAAATACAAAGGCTGTATTGAAAAACCTTTGAGTAACTCAACTTGGTAACTTATTAATCTCAACTCAGTTTTTGTTCCACCTCCTTTTCTGAACACTCTTCCCAAGGAAGCCCTGATTTGCAAGTATCCATATCTTTGATTCAAATGATTTTTTATTCCTTGAGAAGCCTTTGTCATCTCTTACCACTCAGCAAATATCTATTCTTTTTTCATCGCTGTCTTGCTTCTAATCTCTGATGATGCCTTTGTCGCATCCTCAGTGTTACATGAAATCTTTTTTGCATCTATCATAGCACATACTTTTAGGTATTACATTATTTATTTGTCTACCTTCCTTGTTTTTTTTTTTTTTTTGAGATTGCAATTTAGTTTATGATGCCTAAACTCAGCTGTGCTTCTAGTTGGTCTGTTATGAATAAAATAATACACGAACGTACTTTAGTTCTTAATCCTTGAAAGCAAGATGTCAGGTTGTACCAGTAGCTACATAATTACAAAGAAATATTTGCTTTTCTTTGACTCTTAATACAATTGGACTTCTTTTCCATCCATAAATCGATTTTTGATCTTTTTCTTAAGACCCAGCACTTTTTCAGCGATATAAGATAAACACACTAAAAATAGGTAGACTTCTCAAAGAAGTTTAATATTTTTTTAAAATGTGCCAGTATTTCATCTACGTGCATGAGTGTCTCAGGATTTTAATTGTTTTTCACTCCAGGAAGGTAGTGATATGTAAACATTTTACAAATCTGAGCTCAGAAAACAATGATTTGAATAATCTGTGCTTTAATGCAAAAATGAAACATTAAGTTGCTTAGTTTCTCATACAACATGTTTATTAAACATTTCAGTGTCAATAATTTCTTAAGATTGTAACATTTAACCTTGTATTGGAGCTAATATCAATTCTAGCCATGGGAGTATGTTTTGGACTTTTTGAACAATTTTGAGTAAAATGAATATCACTGTCTTTAAATTGTGCTTGGACCAAAAACAAAGAAACATCAGCTCATTCTTTCCAACTAGTAGAACATTTAATGATGCAATGTTTATTACATTATTTTAGGGCTATTATCATAATGTTAAATATTCTTATTTTTGCTTCCATCTGTTACTAAAACTCAATATAATCATTTCTGAACATTCTTAATCTTCATTTAACTTAGACTTATATACTGTATTTTTAACTTGGGCTCCAGGAAAAATCCTGAAAAATAAAAATCAGCATCTAGCATCCTGTTCCTATTCTACAACCACAAATTCTCAGTCTGATATTACTTATTATGAAATCTGTATTGGGAAGTATAGATGTTTAAGATAACTTTTTCTAACTAAAAAAATAATTTCCTTTGCACCTCAAGGGGGATTAAAAATCACCAGAGTACTGAAGGAACATGTGCTTTGATTATTATTCCCACCTGTTTCTTTTTTTATTATAAAGTGGCAATTTGTACTGTCATTAGAAATATACATTAATGTATAAATTTTTGCATTCAAATCTCTTTATTTTTAACTATGACTACAGACCACAAATCAAATAAAAACTCTATATAATATATCCTTATTTCAGAAGCATATGTATATATACATATATATTTGTAGAACAATCCACTGTTTTAAATGTAATTTTGACTTAAAAAATGCTATTTACAATTTTATGACAGAGAAATAACCTCAGCCTTTTATGATACTAAAATGAGCAGGGAATTTTTATGTTTGTGTCTCATCTTGTGCAGATGAAATTAAGCAACATCATGGAAAAATCCTCTCAAGAGCAAGGCCTGGTAGACTAAGCTATGAGGGTGAAATAGATTTGCTGTTTCTGGGTCTATGTTAAAAAAAAAAAAAATCACTGGCAATGTAGTCATACTTACTTCTTCACCAAGAAATCAGTGGTCCCAAATTAGGACTTCCAAACTTTTCAATATGCAACCTTGAAGTCTTTTCTTGTCCTTATTCTTGTCTTAATACTCTCATCTCAGTAGTGGCAATGCAGGACCACCAATCTAGATATTAGATTGTTCCTATTTTATTAAACAGAAGAGTTCTTTTAAACAAGTTTTCCGAATTACAACGAGGCCCATAAAGCATCACATTGCATTACATTCCTGTCTATTGAGCCAATCCATAATGGCCAAAAATGTGCTATTAAATATGTATGTAAATTTCAAAGCTAAAGCTATTACTATGAGAATAGGGTGGCTTGCTGCTCTCCAATTTGCAGAAGCACAAAAGTCTCTGAATTAGCAAATGGAATTTCAGCACCACTTGTTTCTGTACTTCATTCATCGAGCTTAAAAATCAAGTAAAGTATATTGACCATAGAGCTATTTTGTGACACTCTCAGAAGTCTTGTTTTCATTCTTAAGCTCATTGATTTTGAAACTTATCCCAATAAGAACTCAGAATAAACACATCTTAATTTATATCTGCAGAGCCAATTGCAAAGAATTGCTAAAAGCCATATTTTTCCTGGGAAAAATCCCAATGCAATTTTTAAAAAAGCTTATTTTACTTAAAAAGGAGTAAGTGCTGAATGAATTGAAGACCCAGAAATCGGAACAATGAAAATTAAGGGATTATTCTACTTGAAATAAACCTGAAAAACAAAGTACATAAATTCAATCATATTTTTGGATGAAGTTGGATATTATATGTTTATATATGGTAGTATTTTAAAAAACTCAGTGAATACTGGCTTATTCTATTAAAGTTTTATGTACTTAAAAACAAGCAGCAGTTAAGCAAACATTAACCCTTTGCTCTATGCTACAATTTTTGTCAGGTTTATGTGTAAAAGAAATGAGATTTCCATTCATTTTCTGAACTAAATTGGAAATAAGACAAATCTAATTTCCAAAACATTTTACTGCAGTGAACATTTGCTTAACAGGATACAGAAAAAAACAATATGCAAATTGGGTGCTTAGAATTCTCTCTTAACTTCTATCAGCAAAGTGACAAATGTGAGTCTAGATGGTAAATGACCAGCCCCACTAAATAGAGAGGAATTTTGTTAGTGATTCATTTCTATTTTTTAATAACCAACTTAAATGTACTTTGTCATAAATCATTGTAATTGATTTTTATAAATTTCACCCATTGTGTTGTTTATGAAACCATCAATTGTTTTACTGATGAGTGTGTATGTGTGTGTATCACCACAAAATCTCAAGTCATTTCATGCTAAAGGAGCCAGTGTCCCATTGTGTTGAAGCTTTTTATTTTTTTTCAAATAAAATAAGCTTTATGTTTGGATTTTTTTTTTTCTTTCGGTTCTAGTGGTGACAGGTATGTTTGTAATCCAGTTGAATCAAGAGTGACAAGAGGAAATGCAGCTAGAGTGACATCTTGTCCCCAGGGGTATTCTTTTCCTATAAGAGCAAGTCCGTTTTTAGAAAATTTAAATGTCTTTGTTACTTTCCAAATATTTTGGTTAAACAAATATCTCTTGCAAATATGTCTTCAAAATCATTGCCTAGATGCATAACATTTGTTCCTTCCCAACTGCTTAAGCAAATTCCTTCATTTTCTGCTCACCTCTAGATAATAAAAATAGGATACTTGGTAAAGAATATGATCCACTATTGAAGAATAATGACTGTGTAAAGTGAGGGAAACGATGCTGACCTTGAAATACAGCAACCAATGGCAAGGTTTGAGGTGAGGGCCTAGAGCTTCTGCAGAGTGTATATATTTTAGGGAGTCATATTTGGAACAATACATGCTGGACAGTAGAGATATAGGAGAAGTTACATGCTATGTCTTCTCATTGATAATATCCACAAATCTGCATACATTTTTCACATTGTTTTGTGTGTTTTTTCCCTTTAAATTTTGATGTCTCTATACTGCTCCTGATTTGTAGGACTAAATAGATCTATTTATTCCAATGCAAATTATATAACATTTATTTCTTCCCTGATTTTTAAAACTACTTCAGTATTCTTAACTGTTGTTGCCTTCTCTTACCCTGAGTTCTTTTTCACTACTTTAAACTGCTCACAGAATCGTATCTGTTGGAGCCACAGTTGTTGAATTCTGTATTATTTCTCTACACCCTTTGAACATTTAGTGTATTACTGATACCCTTATGTGTTCTAGGAAACAAACGAATTGCTAACTGGACTTGTAAATGGCATATATATATATAGCAACAAATAAGCTACTGGCTTCATAAGACAGTAAGTTAGGAATTTCACAGTCATGTCTCCCAATTTCATGGCAGAGTTTGAAAAACGATATAAGACCCTGGTAAGGTACAAAGGCAAATGCAATTTGCATTGACTCATTTCCTAGGACATATTTCCTTATGTAAAACCCCTCTTCTTTCTTCCCTGCTGCAAGACAGGGTAAAACCTTTCTAAAACATGTGCTTATACTCTCAAAAGTGTCCACAAAGCAAAAAATCAGACCACATGCTAACAGCAAGTAACTTATACCTCACCACCTGAACATGGCACTGGCAAAGAATTCCCAAAAGTCACTTCAGCATTAGAACAGTAACTTTTTTCCTAAACTACTACTACTACTACAAAAAAAAAAAAAAAACTCCTGAAATAATATCTTTGATAAAAATGTTATACTCCAGGATAATTTGAAATTATTTTTATGAAATAATTAAATTTGTTAAGGCTATTATTAGAGTCAATAAAAGACTTTCCTTGTACATAAAACAATCTTAAATTACATCCTCAAAAATAATTTCTTACACTTTTCTTGATGATAAATAGTTCCTGGCTATATATTTTTATATGCTTTAGTATTAGCTATCTATTTGCTTTCTCTTACACCGAGTTCTTTTTCGCTGCTTTAAACTGATCACACAATCCTGTCTGTTGAATAGTTTATAATTTGAAAATGTTCAATTTCATGGTTAAAAAAAATCCTGCAAACAGAATAGAATGGTGTGTCAATTCCAGATGCCCAAATAAAATACAAAATCAAGAAAACCACACATTGCAGCATTATCGTGAGTTTAAGCTGTTTAGTATACAACATCAGTTTCTGAGTTCAATTCTCCAAAACCCTTTCCTTTAAAGTAATAACTTTATTTCACCTTTATTAATGTCTTAATTACAGTTAGATCTCTACTCATAACAATACAGTTTAATTTAATGTTTGTGGAGTCCTGATTTATTTTTTCCTTTGTTTTTAAGTGTGCTAATCTTTGTGCATGTGTATTTTCTACCACATTGCAACAAGCAAGCTTTGGTTCAATTTTCTTGTCCTACACACAGAAAGATTTTGAGTGCAGAATCTTAGCCACTAGGTCTTGCGTTGTCATTTTATTTTCCTCTCCTTTGGGCGGATTTACTGGAAGGAAATGGGTAAATGGGAGGGAAGAGAAGGGGAAGGGATGAGAGAGGGAAGAAGGGAAGAGTTCTCAGCTATGTTGAATCTTGATTCACGACTTTGCCTCCATTCATGGTTGGTGTTCCAGAACTTTTCCTTGAACGCCCTTGTTTTTCTCCAATTTCATGTAGTGATGGTTCTCTGTACATACACACTGAAAGGCAAAATAAGAAAAATTACTTATGATAGTGGACATAAATTTGATTCAATAAGCTTTGCAAATTTGCTTTTACAGTATTCTTCACTCTCGTCACAAGCTCTTCTCCCCATTATAAAAAAGGAGTTTTAACTTGATAATATATTTAGTGGATACACATAATTCTCTTCCAGTTCTTTCAGCCACAACCTTTTAAACTTTTCTTGAACTACAGACATGTGAGTTGCTTCTGTTCTCTTATAGGTAAGGCTTGAATCTTTATAGCTCACTAACCTAGAAAGCAGGATTTTCATCCAGAGTCAGAGGAGACATGGGAAGTATTTTGCTTTTTGCCCCTTAATCTGAAATCTACTTTGGGTAGGGAAAAAAATATTAATTTACATGTTCCTATTTTTTACCCTACCATAGAAAATACGCTGTTGTGTCAAACTGAACTATTTATTGCCGATTTCCAGGGCATCCTACGTAAAAATAAGGGAGGACAAAGGAGAGGAAAAAAAGATGAAACAATTTCCCCAATTGTCCTAGATTTCCTTCGCCTAAAGAAAGAAACACAGTTCATGACTTTTAAGTTATTTAATCAACAGGGCATGTGATTATGCAACCGTGAGACTTCAGTTCACATCTGTACATTTCCTTTTCTGCTCTATTGTTTTGTCTGGCTGTAAAGTTCAGTCATCTGTGAGCCATTATGGCTATTCCTAGATAATTGTTTAGAAAGAACAATGTTTTTTTCAAATTATGGTTATTCTTACAAAACACAATCTATCCGCATATTGAACACATTAATGCAGCTTCATTATACTGTTGTGAAATAGACAAATGTAACTGAACTAGAGTATATGATATGTCTCATGTAAATATCAGGAGTTAACTGTGTTCCTATGCCAAGGATAAAAGTTATCTCCACCTATTGAATCATCTTTACAAAGATTTAATATTTTGAATGTTACTTCCAACATCAGATAGCTTCCTCCCTTGAACTTTGAGTGCTTACCAATTTGGGAACCATGCTGCCTGGATCCACACCTTGACTCAGCCTCCAACTAACCTTGTTAATTTGGATACATTTGCATAAATGAAAAATAGCATGTTTATGAAGATTAAATGCCTTACATGTGGGAAGTACCAAAAATGTTTATGGAAAATTAAGAAGCTGATTTCTTTGTGAGCATTTTGAATAACAGATTTTCAGAGAATATACAAATAAATTATTTTGACTGAAAGTATTCTAAATCCAAAACTAAACTAAAAGAGAATTTAGAATACAAGTGAGAGTCTCCTAAGACAGGTTCACTGATGAGGAGACAGATTTCTTCCAACATACTCAATTATAGAACTTCTTAAATGTTACTGTACATTTGAATCACCTAGGAATATTGTTATAATGAAGATTATGAATCAGAAGGACTCTAGGGAGCTTGAGATTCTGCATTTTAAATAAGATCTCAGGTGATACTGATGCTGATAAAATCCAGAACACATTTTGAGTAGTACAAAATATATGTATAAAATATGTATGTTAAGGACCTTATGCAAATTAGCCACACATATTTTAATGAGATGTAAAAATATTTCAATTACTGCACTGAATGGGCTCTTCCAACAACATCCCCAAAGGACTAAATGCTTTTGGCTGAAGTAACAGAGTATACAGAGGAAACCAACTCTGAGAGTAGATCACATAATGTTAAAATGACACAAGTAAGCCATTCGAGTTTGTCTTTTTTTTTTTTCCAACAAATAGAATATCATTATGGAAAATCTTGCTGGAATCTTGAAGTTCCCTAAGTCTAATGGCTCTTACCTCTCTTTCTGTTATTTAAAAAAGTATTAAAACTCCAAAATTTAAGCATAGTTTTTTATTTGTGCAAAATATAATCATTTACACATGAACAGGTGAACTGAAGAAATAATGAAGTGATTCCATTGGAAAGTTAATCATATGATGCCATAAAATGATCTTCCCAACTCTGTCACCTATTAAGCTTTGAAAAATCATACATTTGCAGGCTTCACCACAAATTGCTAAATCAGAATCTCAGTGAATTTACAAAAATCTCCTTTTTAAAAAAATAATATATTTTGACCTGCAAATTCCTAAGCTTCATCTGCAAACACGTGAGGAATAAATTTTCTAATTTTCATTAAAGTATATATTTTTATCATTTTTTAAAGCTGAGTTTCTTAGAGTTGCAATTTCCTTTTTAGTTTTGTTATGCTTCAGATTTTACCCAAAACATTCATTTGGACTTTTATTTTTTTCTGTTTCTCACTTGCAGGTAAAATACTTCATTTGTGTCAGCACACAATGTTACTAGTAATAGTACTGCTACAGATAACTTTTACAGTAATTTTACCCTGCTGGCCATCTTGATATTGAGAGGTATTGAAATTGACATCTGAAAATACACAGTGTTTCAAAAAGACCAAAATTCGCCAGTGCCACAGCAAGATGTAAAATTTGCTCTTTTTCTCATACAACTCAATTTCTAATTTCCCAATCTTTCCATTAAATGGAGTAATAAAATTCAGGGTTTTGAAAAACTAGTTCGTGTCCCAGTTAGAAAATGACAAATAATAGGTAGTTTTTCCAGTTCACTGATGAAAACTGCTCTCTTCCTCAATAAATCAAATAGGTATTCGAATTTCTATACTTCTGCTAACCAAAATAAAAGGATATTCAGAGAAAATAAACTAAAGTTATTCTAGAAATTGCATGTAAATACAAATATAGATAGCAAAACCATGGTCAAACCAACAGATTAAATTTAATTTCTTGAGCTTTGATTTTCATTGTTATTGACAGGACCTTGGATTCAGTAACAGATCTAATTTAAGAAGCTGACAAATCGAGGGGTATGAGTCTCAATCAAATTTCTGAATGACAAGACCATAATCCAATTAGAAAGCAAAGAAATAATAAAGTACCTCCCTTCAGTAATATAAATGCCTTACTACCATCCATAGTTGCATTAACACTTAATGATTGCTATTCTGAGTGTACACTATAAATAACAAATTTGAAGGGAAAAAAGTCATAAGTATTCTCTAAAGTGCATTTTATGTGCAAAATGTAAACAAAAATCATCATGATGTATATAGCAGCCTCAATGATAATTCCTTGAATAAATCTATCATTTCAGAGTATTCAAAGCAATTTTAAATTAATTTGACCATTACAGTAACAGGTGAATGCAGAAGGTGAGAAATTATCACCCCAATTTTTTAAATATGTAAGAAATTGGCTGGGCGCAGTGGCTCACGCCTGTAATCCTAGCACTTTGGGAGGCCGAGGTGGGTGGATCACCCAAGGTCAGGAGTTCAAGACCAGCCTTGCCATCATGGTGAAACCCCATCTTTAAATAAATAAATAAATGAAATAAATAAAAATAAAAGAAATTAAGCCACTTCCATTAAGTCAGATGGTGAGTAGTGGCAGGGCCAGGATGAATATGTAGTGTTTCAAGGTCCTAGTTAAATATTTTGAATAAAATCAGAAATACCATAGTTTATCAATAAACACCATAAAATGACTGACATAACAGTGTTTGAATTCTTATGTCTGTATGTTAATCAAGATTTAAGTTGACCTTACCTTCACTAAATATTCCTAAAGTCATTCAGGAATGGTAATAAAAGAAAATGCATGGTTATTTAAAAAAATACCCCAAACTAAAAAAGAAAGTAACAAGTGTTGTTGAGTATGTGGAGGAATTGAAACTCTTATGCATTGCTATTTCAAATGTAAAATGGTGCAGCCACTGTGGAAAATCAAATGGTGATTCCTCAAAGAAATAAATATGGATGTATCATATGATCCAGCAATTCTGCCTGTAGGTGTACACTCAAAAGAAATGAAAGCAGGGACTATAGAATCTCTCTGTACATCCATGCCTATAGAGGGATTATTACCGTAGCCCAAAGATGGAAGCACCAAAATGTCCACTGACAAATGAATGGGTAAATATATATTATACATATAATGAAATAGTATTCCACCTTAAAAACAAAATTCTGACACGGTTCAACACAAATGAGCCTTGTAGAAATTGTGCTAAGTGAAATAAGCCAGTTACAAGGGGCCAAATATTGCATGACTCCACTTATGTGAGATACTTAAAAGAGTAGTCAAGTTTGCAGAGGCAGAAAATAGAACCGTATTTCCCAGGGGCTGTGGGAAGAATGGGGATTTCATGTTTAATGGGTACAGAGCTTCCGTTGGGGAAGATGAAAAAGTTGTGGAGATGGATGATGGTAATGTTTGCACAACAATGTGAATGTACTTAATAGCAATGAAATATATCCATAAAAATGTTTAAAATGGTAAATTTTGTATTATCATATTTTACCACAAATAAAAAGCAAACAAACAAACAACTTGTCCTGAATTGTCCTGAGTATAAAGTATATGAAGTGACTCTTTGAAACGAACCCTCTAATTTAGGCAATGTGGGATGTTACTAGTTAATCATGTCTCACTCAGGACCTTGAGGCTACACTTGTGATACAGATTTTATTTTCAGCAAGTATGATGTTATAGATAGTATTTAATAAAAACATGACTTTAAACTTCTTTTTTTCTGATTACGCTTGATACTATTTTTCCAACAGTTTCGGTATCCAAATTTCAATGATGTTCAGTGTCCTAAAGATGCAGGGCCTGCATGATAAACAATGTTATTTCCCTTTCATCTGGCTTTTGTGGGTTGTCCTTGATCAAGCTGCTTGCCCTCTTTCTATTCATTTGTCAAGTACATCAAGTAGGAAAAATATACATTTGCTTCCCCCACCCCAAGATATTTCTGAAATAAAATATCATTGTTCCTCTAACCTGCATATCTTCATGTTTTGGACAAATGGTAAAATGAGATAATATTTTGAAGAGAAAGCATTTCTGTTTGGTTCTTCAGTATTTTTTTCTTCAAATCAAAGCATACTCTTATTTCAGTTATTTTCTTCTTATTTTTCCTCTATTCTAATTTACATTTCAATTT